AAGATTTGACAGTATCACTTCGCTTTTTGGCCGTTTTGCCACTGTTTAGCACTTCTGCTACCATTTTAGACTGAGTGCCAGATTATCGTGCCTTCAAGCGCTGTATCACTTCCACTTATTGTACACCATTAACTACGAAGAGGATCAGCAAATAATCATTTATCACATGTATCAACGAGAAAAACACAAACTGTACACAAAATAGACGTCATATATTTTGAAAGGATTTTTTCGCCGATAATATCCGTGAATCTCGGCTATCACATCGAGTATACGTAGTTATCACCGAATGACATCGCCTAAATGCACCTGTGCTATCGAAAGAAAGGAGACACACTACGGGTCCTTATCGAGAGCGATGCACGTACTTTTCTTCGCTCATTCCTCCACATCTTGCTCGAACTACGACAAGAAGCTTCTGGCGGAAATTGTCCGAACTCAAGCAAAATACAACGAAATTCAAACATTTGCCGATAATTACCATAAAACTGGTAATTACTTCCAAGTCGTACCTGAAAGTAGTGGTCTTTTATTCAACAACATAACTTCAAAACGTTGACAGAGGTCTGCTTCTTGCAGAGAAACCGAACAAACTTACCAGTACTCTTCAAACTCTTGATCAACCCACATCGATCGCCAAAAAAGCACCACGGCAGATGGAGCCTGAAAATGTTAACTCAGTCAGGTGAGTATGATTTTCTATTCGACAAGAATCTCTCGGCACCCTGGTGGGGAATTTGGAGGGTGGGGGTTGAGGGGGCAAATTAATTGTAATCAAATCCGTGTTCTTGAAAAAAATAGTCTTATTACTTTCCATAAGTACTAATACTTAGTACTAGAAGAGCTACTCTTGCTTCAAGTTTCCTCTTAAGAAACAAATTCTATTCGTAGAAATAATTAAAGGCGCTGCTTGAAACTTATCACTATGCTACATATGGTCCCCAAGCACCATGTGGTATTTTGTAAGGAGTTACAGAACAATGGGAAAAGCAGAGAACCAGCTAGACAAAAAGAAATACGGAGAAAAGGGGGGAGGAAGGAGGAAGAGAAAAGGAGCTACAGCAAAGGAAAAGAAGAAAGGACACTAATCCGCTGCGGGATGAGGTTTGGTACAGCATCCTTGTGTGAAACACATGGGGGGTCGTACTTTTGCTCTGGGGAGGGGGGTCGTATTTGTAAGACAAATTTATTTTGATAGTTGATTTTTTCTTGTGGAAAAGGGGGGTCGTATTAATTTTTTTTATATATGCACTATATGCATTCTGTACGTGGACCGTGCTGTACCATTCGTAGGGAGGGGCGTACTCACACCGACATTCGCACATCCCCATGCTGTACCCTGGGTACAAACACTCTTCTGGATCCTCTTAACGCACCTAGGATGCAGCACTCTGAGCTTCTCTCAAGCTACAAAGCGCTATCAGTTTATGCATTATAACCCCCAATTTTTTTCAGCCGGTGTATTTGGCGCTAGATAGTGCACAAGAAGCGAATTTTAAGCGCAGGTAGCTGAGATCGCTTGCTACTTGGAGTGATGACCGAACTAAGTTAGTCCAACTAGTGGTAGTCTGTAAAGGATATTCTATTCGAAACTGTTGGTAGCTTCACGGAAGATCACAGGACTCAGCAGAGTTGTCCGACACACTTGCAGGAGCTAACAATGCCCTCTCACCCATAGCGGGATGGTGCCTGAGAACAAATTTCCAGGACTTTTGAAAGAGTTCCCAAGTAAACATTGAAGGCTTTTGCTCACTCCAATGCAAAAACGTGTTCATCGTCGCCACCACCAATTTTGAAGAGCATTTTGATATTGCATAAATCGTCCCTAGAAATTACCTGAGTAATTGTGAATGAAGTGACGACGGCACAAACAGTCACTGCCACTCGGTGCTCCATCTTTTGCTGAATCAACTGAAACAGGAAATTTTTGATTTCTCTTTCTCAGCAAGGTCCGTACAAGATCCATAGAGGCCTAGGAGCCGGACGGCAGAGATTTTTGGACAACCGCGGCCAACCCACTAACCAGGGAACTCCGCAAACTTACCATGGAACTTTGAATGGAGACCTGGGTAGATCGATAGAGTCTATAAGGTATTTACAAATATAGATAGCAAAACTGCAACCTGCATTTCACAAGCAACTTATGAGCAGGTAAAGTTTGTAATGGTGCAGTAGGGTGGAGGCTTGGTGGTGAGCTGTGAAGCATAAGCGAGGAATCGCATACGTCGAATCGAGTCGTCGAACGTCGAACCTTACCCATGAAAATGGGTGGTACGTGCACTGTGGGTTCCAGCGTCAGAACTACCTGTGGCGCTGGCACCTGGGGTGCAAACGCCAGACATCTTTGATTTGAACGGATGTGATTGTGGGGGGGGGGCAAAAAAACCTGTCTGGATTCGTACTCCTCTTTCTACCTTAGGAAAGAAAGTTTGATCACAATGTGGCCTGAATTTCGATAAATGGGCAATAAAAGGTAAACGGCGTTGAATCTACCAAAGACAAGGGCATGCTTCGAAAAACGCCGACTTACCGTCCTGCCTGTCATTGGTGAGCCTCTCAAAGCGGCGGAAATGCACAGTTCCTCAAAATGACCCCGTTCCCTTGCCTCTATGGGTTTTGCCTTTACGTCAAGGCTAGGAACTAAGCCGCAATGCTAAACACAAAAAGCAGACGAAAAACATCGGAGAAAACCTATTCCTCCCTTATGTTCGGCCCAAAAGTTTTCCATGGCTCTGAATATCCAATGGACCTGTTCTGTACAGGACTACTAATTTCAAAACAATTCAGCCAAGTATAGTACCTGATCGCTGTGCCGTCGAAAAAGTGTTCCTACAAAGGGCAGCTTGGCTTGACCTTCTCGTTGCATACGCTGTGTCACTTTACTCAACGACACATGGAAGAAGAACGATCTGAAAATGAAAAGATGATTGACATCAGTGTAGAAGGAACAGCCTGTGTGGCTTAGGAGGGAGGGGGTGGGGATGGGAGGCGCTCTATTTTAGCTCGCTAGTTTCATTTACTAGTTCCTTTCAGCTTATACCTCTCAACTTGATGAGACCTGCAGACTGACTCCTGTCAAGTGTAGAGGACGATCGAACTATTGCCTAGCATTGCCAGGTTCAGAACTCTCCACAGGAGGCACCATCAATGCTGGTCGATGGGAATCAGCGAAGTTCCCCAACGCCATAGTCCACGCTGATCGTGTGGGAGAAATAGGACCTACCAGTATTCATTTTTCATTGGTGCACCCCCCTCCTTCTAGAGAGGTAAAGAGGATGAGCGTATGCTCGTATCGCTTCATTTGCGAAGTACAGTATGAAGCAAATGGATTGATATGAAGCGGCTGCGGTGCTTATGGATATGTGAGTGAATAAGTGCAGCCGCATCTACCGTAGCGGATATTGCTTCGATGCCAGTGGGAAACTCGTCCGAGT